GGGCTCTCACCACCCCCAGGCAACCCCTGCCCCCAGAGTTCCAAATGGCGAGCTCCTTCTGCCTTCTCATCCTGTCTACAGGGTTTCTAACCACTGCACCACCGCACCCCGCCTCGGCTAAGATCTTCAGTTCAGTGGTCCAGGAAGAGGCCTCAGCTTTGCATTGTACTTTCTGTGCAACTCTTTTCCTGCCAGGTGCAAACTTCACTTATGCTGTTGCCTCCTTTTTCACTTCACTATGGTTTCCAGTAAGTGTTTCCAGTTGGCCACACTTGGTTGTTAATACATGGAAGCAGGTTAATTTGCCAAAAGCCAATTTGTCAGATGAGCAATTCACCCAATTACTGGAGATTGTATGAAGCGTTAGCATTGCCCTAATGTGCCCCAAGTCCATCTCTGACCCCAGAAGCTGTCAGGAGAACGTTTTCCTCAGGACGTGAGACAGTTTGCAGAGTCAGAGTTAGAGGCAGGAGGAGCAAGAGCAGAGCAAGTTACTTTGCTGCGAAAGAGGGATACTGCTCTTGAGCTCTGGGGTTTGTTAGGATTAAGTTGGTTAATACAAATAAAGCACTGGGAGCAGTCTGGCAGGCAATATTCAGTACCCAATAAATGTTAGTGATTAGTACTATTAAAACAATTATAATTTTAATTTCACATGTTCATTTAAATTACATGAATTAAACTATACATATAAAATATAAAACAATATTAAAGTGAAAAATAAAAATAACAATTTAAATGGGAATGCAAAGAAAAGCAATCTGTAGGGCCAATTCAGTGGTCCATACACTTGGCCTTGTTGTTTCCTGGCGAGGTGAGGGGGTTGGAGATTGAGTTCAATGACCAATGGCCAGTGATGTAATCAATCATACTTATGTAATGAAGGCTCCATAAATCCCCCAAAAGTTGGGACTCAGAGAGCTTTGAGGTTGGAGATGTGGGAGAGCACAGAAGCCCTGCACCCCTTTCCCCATATCTTGCCCTATACATCTCTTCCATCTGGCTTTTCTGGGTTATCGTCTTTTATAATAAATGGTCATTTAGTGAGTAAAGGGACTTCCTGACTTCTGTGCCCTGCTCCAGGAGCTCTCCAATCCCACGGATTTGTTCATGACTAAGTTACTGTTATATTGAGATTTTTTTTAGGTAACATTGATTGTCAGGCTCAGTTTTCCCCATTTGTAAAGTGGGTATATAACATAGATCCATTTTGTATCTCTTAGGCACGTCTTATCCTAAATGAGTGAATATACAGGAAGCCAGCAAGTAGGGTAGACAGGAGTTTCGCTTTGTTTATTGGCCATGTGAGAGGGGAGCAGGTAGATTTAATATTATCATTAGTCATGACTTGAGCCAAACTTAGTGGTTTTAAAACCGTGCTTATAACACTGTCTGCAAATTAAAATGAACAGAGGAGGTTTTTTAAGCACAAAAATTCTTGGGCTCCACCCACTGCCTCCAATATTCTTACTCAATTGATATGAGGTGGGATCTAGGCAACAGAAGTTTTTAAAAAGTTCCTGAAGGTGATTCCATTGTGTAGCCACGACTGAAAACCAGTAATTAGTAATATAAATCAGTAATATAAAGTAAGTGAAAATGACATGATATAAGGTGGGTCTTGGCTGTGACCACGGGCTGAGCCCAGCCCCGCATTCTGGAAGCGCTCGGCAGCTGACGCTCAGGGAGTTTCCAGTCATGATCTGGGGAAAAGGACATTTGCATAAAGGCCAAGAATCACAAGAATCACCGAAAAGTAGGTTAAAAGGAGGCCTCAGAAATCATCCAGACTTAATTTTCTACCTGATTGCTGTGTGAACACTGGCAGTTCAGCTTAGATCTTTGGGCCTCAGCTTCCCTAGCCATTAAATGAATAGGTTAGACTGGATAAGCTCAAGGGTGTCTCCCCGTGCTGTTATTCTACGATCCTAAGATAGTTTTCAAGCATCAGAGAAAAGAGATGTTGACCTTGCACGCTTGTATTGGTATTCTCTGAGCATTCCTTGTCTGAAGTCACTCAGCAGCTCTCTCTGACGCTGGCTGAACACCAGCCTGAGCTCCTCAGGTGAGAGGCAGCTGGAGCTCCATCCTTGAACTTCCCTCTTCCCAGCCTTTTCTGGCAGGATAAAGGCTTTTGTGAGATTCCTGTAAAGGCAGCTCATTTGAATTGCAGGAGCAGGCTCCGAGTGATCTCTCTGCTCCCCAGCAAGCACGTGGCCTGACCACGGATGGTATCTGCAGAGGAAGTGGTGGAATGTAGAAGTTAACAGGACGACAGTGCACGCACATCCTCCTGTCTTGAGCCAACGGCTGCCATGCCCTGATTCTCCTTGCTTGTCCTCTTGCTTAGCAGCCTTGGGCTGCCTCAGAGTCTCCTGCTTCATGCTTTTCTGAGGGGTGGGCCTCTGAGCAGGGCTTAAGGTATCAGTCAAAACAACAACAGAACCATTCATTACTTACATCGTCCGCTGAGGCTCTGTACCGGGGATGTCACACTAGATCTCTGGGCCTCAGACTCGGACCACACTCCATTGGAAGGCAATTGCTGTGTCTGAGTGTTTGTTCCCACCCCCCAAATTCAAATGTAGAATTCCTAACCCCCAAGGATGATGGTATTAAGAAGTGGGGCCATGGAAAAGTGGGGCCTTGAAGTGGAGCTGGTGCTCTTGTGAATGGGATTAGTGATTTATAAAAGAAACCGCACAAAGCTCCCAGCCCCTTCCACCTTGTGAAGATGCAAGAAGTCTGAGACTTGGAAGAGAGCCCTCACCAGGCTTTGATTTTAGACTTCCAGCTCCAGAACTTTAACAAATAAATACCGCCCAGTCTGGAATATTTTGTTATAGCAACCTGAATGAACCAAGACATAAATCATCCCAGCCAATCCCCTAATGCAAAGTGTCCTCTCTGGTGCACAAATATACTAGAAAACTATCCCCAAATGCAAGAGAAAAGGACCTAATGTGCCTAATGTTCTCTCTTGACGTTGTGAGGGAAAGGAAGAATTTTAGTAGGAAGAGGGCAAGGGGTTTTAAAGTGCATAATACAGATCTTTTTAGGCTCTCAGTCTCTGTGCAGGTGGAATAGGGTAAAGGGGGCAGGAGGCTGGGAAAAGGCAGATTTAGTAGATATTGCCCATGGAAGGGCTCTGAAAGTAAAGGTGGGAGCCCCAGGGCCCAACCCAGAAGCAATGACATAGGTCAGCTTCTGGGTTCTGCTTTCCAGAAACCAGCACCTTGGTCCAGGTGAAGCTACCTTGTCAGGCATCTCACGTGCATCCTTTTGGGGCATTGAAGATGGTAATACCAGACCCCAGATCTCCTTTCCTGGCCCTTCCTTGGTCTCAGGAGTTCTCAGAATCCTGAAAACACTCTTTCTTATGGTCCCTTTTTACGGGAGGTAGCCCAGGAGCAGGTAGAAGCAGAATAAGCAAACACGGTTCCCTCTTGAACTTTAAGAGGAAGTGACACTCCAGCTTCTGACGCTGGAACAGCAGCGCTGCTATCTCATTGTAGTGGTGGAAGGAATAGGACCAGAGGCATCGTGAGACCAGATGCAAGTTGGGATTCAAACGTGGCCGTTCCACTCAGCCTGAGCTCCTGCTCCAAGACCCAGCAAATTCCTGTTAACACAGACCTCCAAACATGACGCACCCTATAGGCTTCCTGCTTGCACCTTCAAACAAATGTTTGTCCACATTGGAATTGTGATGCCAACAATAAAACCTTGTTATGCAAGGTTTTAGCACCCAAACAATCAGCGTGAGGAACTCACGGGAGAACACGGGCGGGAACAGATGCCTGACAGAACTGTACATACTTGTCAATGTAAATTAGGTGTTTGATAAGTGTTTCTAAGGTTGTTACTCTGTAATTTAAAAAAAAGTAAGCCCCAGGAAATCATATATTTTATTACTTTACTTAACATGTTCCAAATCATTCCCTAGCCTCCCAATCTTCTGCAAGCAGGCCTCTGAGAGAGCGCCCCAGGTGTTTTCTCGTCCTCGACCGGTCCTCGGGGCTGGGGTGGGGGGAGCAGGGCCTGAGTAGCAGGACTGAGAAGGCCTTCCCCCCCCCCCCCCGCCCACATCTGTACCTTTCACTCTGTGAGTAATAGGTCATGGCCACAGGCCAGGGGAAACTAACCAGAGCGAAGGACACAAAGAGAGGAGGAGGAAAAAAATGAGAAAACAAAGAGAGAAACGGAAAAATGGAGGAGATACAGACACTGGGGAAGGCTGAACTTTCACTGTGGTAACCATAGATTTCAAACCACCGACTAAGCCACGTGGCTTCAAGAGTTCAAGTGAATCTATGGGAGCAGTGGGATGACTCACCCAAAACCCGTGCAGCTAATACCTGCTGGGAAATTGGGCCAGTAGCCTCCACAGCTGAAAGCATATTTGAGACCATCTGTTTATTTTTGTTGTTATCGGATTATCTGATTTCTGTTCTGCGTATGTTTTATAATATATACAACATAGCAGTACAGTAATAAGACACATATATAATTTATAAATAAATAAATATTCCTATACTAGGGGGTATATGCAAAAATATTTTGTACTAAAGGGGTACATGGTCAAACCAGATTGGAGACCACGTAACTAGAAAACCATTAAAGACTCCACCATCCTACCTGCCAAGGCCTGGGGCCTCTGCCAGTTGGCCGACTGCAGAAGGAAAAGTCTGCTGTCTAGAAAAGCCTAGTGTCTCTTGTCCCCTTAAAGGGTGAAATCACCTGTATTTTGGTGAAATAGAAAAAATATTATTATGATTGTCGCTGTCTAAACCCCCAACCAGCCTCTAAGGGAGTCACATCAGAGTGGGTCTAACTATGCAGCTGTGGCCACTGAAAGGCAAGAAAGGACCGGAATCCAGTCCCTGTCCTGCTCACCAAGCTGTGTGTCTGCAGGGGGGCGCATCTGCCCCAGGCGAGGGGCGGGGGCTTTTACTGACTCTCACAAAGGCAACTGAATCAACAACCCTGCTTCTTTTTGTTTGTTTATTTGAGTATACTTTTTTCATTGATTTGCTTTCATAAATACAGTTTATTGTCCATTTTTTCTTAAGCTAATAATTTTGAGTTTCCAAGTCCTGGAGATTGTGCATCACTATGGGAGCGGTAGCATGGGGCTCTGGCTTCAGCAGGGCCATCCGCTCAAAACCATGGTGAGCACTTAAACGGGGAAATCATTTTCAGCCCTTGTGTCTCAGAGATGCCCTGAGGCCATTTGACTAAGTGAATTGTTCCACACAGAAAACAAAGAACTGAGCCTCAGCCCAGCCTTGTTTGGGGGAGGCCTGCTCCCTGGGTCCTGGGATGAGGCCCGCCTCAAATGCCTCCATTGGACATAGCCATCCAGCCACGGAAGGTTCCATTTCAGCCTGAGACCACAGTGGAATAATGCAATCCTTTTCAATACAGCCACAGGCAGTCATAGATGTCTGCAGACATCCTGCTCACGCTTATCTTCCTGCAAATTCCACTGATTTATTTACTGGGAAATGTGATGTTCCCCACCTCCCACCCCCAGATGTCCTCTCCTCCTAGGGAGTACTTTGGCTTCCCAGACATCAGGTAGCAAGGAGAAAGGGAGCAGTGTTGGGCCTCTGTGGGCCCCTGGGACCTTCATGCATCAACCTTGGGCTCCTTCATCAATTTGACAAATTCCTTGACCTCTGCTTCTAAGGTTTTGTTCCTCCTCTCAACATCCTCCCGGGAGCGCTCCACGTTGCGGAGGCTGATTTCCAAGGCTGCAGACCTCTTCTTCTCCTTCTCTAGTTCTTCATTGAGCCTCACCACCTTAGCCCAGACATCATAGTTTTCCTTCTCAAGGCTACAAGGAAGGAAAGAAAAGAATGAAAGAATTGGGTAGTACCTCTGGATTTGATCTTCACTCTTGCTTCACTCTTCTATTTTCCTTTCCCCATCGTAAGACCCATAGCCAACCTTACCACTTATTTATGTTCCAACCCCCACGTGAGCACTTCCTAGGAAACCTGAATTCCCAGAGCATATCTGAGCCCCCATTTTGTCATTTAACACCGTCTTGTGACATCTCTTGTATTGTTTTTTATGTCATTTTACATTTTGTATCTTCTACCAGTTAATAGTCTTTGAAAGAAGGGACCATGTTTACTTATGTATATTTCAATTCCCCCACCCCAAGCACCTTACATCAGTCCTGCCCAGGCCGTGAAAGACAAATACCATGTGGACTCACCTGTAAGTGGAATCTAATGAATAAAACAAACAAACAAGCAAAACAGGACCAAAGACATAAGAAACCAGGAGCAGACTGACAGGGACCAGAGGGGGAAAGGGATAACAGGAGAAATAAGGGGAAGGGTCTAGTCAAGGAGCATGTATAAAGGACCCCTGGTAATGGACAACAGGGCGGGGGCTGACTGAGGGAGGGGAGAGCAACGGGGGGGAAATTGGGACAGCTGTAATTAAAAATCAATTTAAAAAAAAAGAAATGTTGATTGACTGCTGAAGCCCCATTCATATTCCAGATTCCCAACACCTTTGTACACATGGGTGCCTTCTCAACCTGCTTCGGTGGTGAGTATGGACCAGTGCCTTCCCTTACTAAGGCCCCCAGGGACCAAGATTTGGCGGGGTCCAGGGAACTTCCCTTTGAGAGCAGCAGTCCTGGCATCCCGCCCTCACTTCAGAATCCTGCTCCCGGGGAGGCAGCTGTTGGATTTCTGAATTCAGAGGATTTTCACTGTTACTGGCCGAAATCTTAGTCTACCCCCGGGGTCCTCTGCCAGGCTGTGCTGAATTAACTCTTAGGAATAAGAGTACACATGCCATTTTTTTTTTTAAGCCAAAAGAGGAAATTTCAGGCCTGTGAGGAGATTGTGTGGTTGGAAATTTGCTTCGGAATTTCATTCTGAAAGGTGCTGTCTCTTATCGCCTGAGAGCCTGACCATTTTATATGGAGACCAGACCTCCCATTGGAGCCCAGGCCTGACTCCTGTCTTCAAGAGCTTTGCCCCATTCTGCATGTAACATCCCCTCTTCAGAGTCTTGTCTACCACTGCCTACTGCTTCCTAAAACTAAATTAGTTTCATTCGCTGTGGTCTTCCCATTACAAATCTAGTTTTCTTTTCCAAATTCTCCACATACCTCTTGCTTTAGGGGACATCTCAAATGAGACACTATGTTAGATCTTGACCAGTGATTTTGGTGGAGAGGTGAGATCTGAGTGGGCTTGGGAGCTAGTCGACCCAAGTTCAAATCCCAACCCCACCAGTGAGTAGGTGTGTGACCTTTGGGAATCTTTTTGTCCTTCCTGATCCCCCATTTCTTCTGTAAAATGGAGATATTACCTATTTCAAACAATTGCTGTGGAGGTTACATGAAAAAGTGTGCCTGAAACATGAAACTTAGACACTGTAGACTGTTACTTCTCCCTCCACCAAGGGTGGGAGGCCCCTGACAGTGGATTCAGAAGACCATTCCATTCAGAAGCAGTGGCTGCCTCCATGGCAGCCAGTTCTTTCCACACCCTGTCAATGACACTCATGTGAGAGCACAGTGGGAGTCTCTCCAGGACTGTTTTGATCACTGCCAAGGTGTCACATGTCTTGCAGTTCTACAAACGATTGACTTGTGCCCTGGTTTCCTGAACTTCTCTGCCCTCTCTCCTCTAGGTTACTTCCTCCTATTCTAGCTTATCCCTGCTCTGCGGTGCAGGAACATCCCAGACCTGCTCCCTTCCCCTGCCCTCTGCACCTTTGCTTCCCTCTGCCTGGCCTGCTCTTCCCCCGCAGGAAGACCTGACTTCTTCCCTCTTCTCCTTCAGGCCTTTGCTTTAATGCCATTTTCTCAGGGGGCCTTCCTGACCACGCTATTTACCACTGGGATCCCCGTCTTGAATCCCCCCAACCTCCAGCCCTGCTTCATTTCTCCCCACGGCATTTTCCACTACCTGGAATAGAACATACTTTCATCACTTATTTGTGTTGTCCATCTGTTCCTGCTGGAAAGAAAGCTCTAGTAACACAGGGACTTTCATCTATTGTGTTCAGTGCTACTCCCCAGTAGCTGGATGGTACCTAGCACACAATACATGCTCAATAAATATCGTCAGAATGGATAAAGCATACTAATATGAAAAAAATTTAAGCTCCTCTTAATTCATTAAGGCATGTTGATCCTTAAAGAATCACCATTTGGAAATAGTTGACTAAGCTACTCAAGCTACATAATTTTCCATGAGTTTAATTTAAAGCTTAGAGTTCTCACTAATTAGTCATCTCATCCTTCCTTTCACTGCACTAGATTACTGTATTCTCCAAACTAAAGGTTTATAATGTCACTTTTTTGGCAGATGAGAACAATCCTTACTGCTTCTAAAGACAGAAGCTGAGTGGTTCCCCTCTGTAAGTGACTTACTTTTTAATCTGTTCTTCATACATTTGTTTCTGTGTTTCTATTGCCTTTTGCAGCTCCTGAACCATCTTTTGCAAAGATTCAAGTTCCTCTTCTCCAGAGTTCTTTGTCCCAGGCCTGGTTTCAGAGTTTGGGCTGGAAAGAGTATCTCTCTTGGAGTCACAGGCATGGGAGGAGAGTGTGCCTGCTTCATTCCCAGGGGACCCTGGCAGCGTAGGGATGTTATCATAGGTGGAAGTCCTCTGGGAGTCAGAAAGGTTGGACACACCTTGAGACATTGTTCTCCTATGCCCGTCCCCTGCCTTCACTTCTGAAGAAGACCAGAACTCAGTTTTAAAGATCTCCATTTTGCTGCTGTTGGCACCTTGAAAAGATGCTGTCAAGAAACATTTCCGATTAGGGAGTGTCTGAGTCCTTTTTCGTGATTGCAGCTTCCAGTCTCCTGGTTTTCCCCTGGGAGCTTTGCTACTGTCTTCCAGACACACGTCACTCGGCTGTTGTCCAGTGGGGCTGGTTGCTTCCGAGTCGCTGGTCTAGAAAAAAATGACCATGAATGTTGCATAGGTTGTTTCCCACACATGTCATGTTACCAGGAAAAGAATTAGAGACTTGAAGGAAAGTATCTCCGGGCTGTATACCTGTGAAACTCTTAATTAGAAGACACTCTCTTCATTTGTTACGTTAGTTGATTATTTGACTGGCATTTGTTTTTCCTAAGAGAACACTGTTGTTAAAGGAACTCATATTCTAGAAGTGAAGAACTAACTACAAGCATTGTATGTTTGTCGTAAAAGAGTCATAAGCCAGGATTCTTTTATAACTTTAGAATGGGAAAGTTTTTCTAACTATAACTCAAAATCTAGAAGCCATGAAAGAAAAGCTTGATAAATTCAACCTACATGGCATGACCCCCAAACTAAAATGAACAAAATTAAAACAAAGAAGTCACTACACACTAAATCAAGTGAAAAATGACAAACTGGAAAGAATATTTGCAATGCATATCACTGACCACAGGCTAATTGCCCTAATGTATAAAATTCATAAAAATTGAAAACAAAAAGACCAATAACCAACTGAGAAGAAAAAGACCAATAACCAATGGGCAAAGGACAAGATAAGATGGTTCACAGAGGAAAATGCGGCTGGCCTTTACACATAAGAATAGATGTTTGGACCCTCTAATAATAGGAGAAACTCAAATTAAAATGACTGAAATATCAGTACTCACCTATTAAAAGGATACCCTCCCCAAAAAACCAAAATCTGACGACACACTTCTGCTGCTGAAGCAGGAAGCAGGTTGTTTTATGCATTGCTGATGGAACTATAAAATGGCACAAATTTCATTTGATAATATTAATCAAAATTACACATCACAAATCTATTTACCTTCTGACTCAGCAATCCCTGTTCTGGGAATTTAGCCCAGAAATACATCTTTCTGCATACAAAATGAAGCATGGTCAAGATTATTCATTGCAACCTTATTTGTACTGTAAAGGAATAAAAACAACCTGTTTATCTGTAGGGGCTGGTTAGGTAGATTATGGTACAAGTGCAGAATGGAACCCTATACACTGGCTAAAAACATGAGGTCATATAAGGTAGTTGTCTATGTATTGACATAAAAAGCTCTCTAGTATCTACCTTTAAGTGGAAAAATTCAAGATACAGAGTAAAGTGTGTGTGAGTGTATGTGAGTGTGTGCGTGTATAGAGAGTATGTGAGATTATGTTACATTTTGTAAAAAGAGGTATATAAAAATTTACATTAATATCTGTTTATATTTGCATAAAGGAACACTGGAAAGATATATAAGAAAGTAATAAGGGCAGGGAAGGATGGAGTGGGTGGACATAGAGAAAGGAGCAGGACTTCTCAGTGTCGCTCTTTTTCTTCTTTTTTATTTTTCTCAACTACACACACACACACACACACACACACACACACACTCTCACACACATTATACTTTAAGTTAAATTAAAAGGAAAAAGAAAGAAGAAATGAACCCTAAATGTAAAATCAGAAAATCAGGGCTGAAGTTCTCTTTCCAACCCTTCTAGCTAATCAACTGCTTCAACAGCCTCACCAGGGGTCAGAAGGACCTAGGCCTTGAGGCGAGAACTCGATCTGAATCTCGTTCCGTAACATTCTAGCATGCCGTCTTGGGCCAGCTGCTCAGCCACCCTGAGACTCAGATCCTCAAACATAAAATGTGCATGATAGATTCTGCCCTACAGAGTTTGGGAAGGACTCTAGAGGTGATCTGTTTATATCTCCCAGCACAGTACCTGTGCATAGCGGCCCGTACTTACACAGAAACCTGTCAAGTGAGCATAAGAATGTCTAGTCTCGAGGACTATTAGGATGATTCCATTGTATGAGGTATGAGCACTTCTAAATATTAATTTAATTTTTGAGTGTTAGTAAGATGCATTGTGCCAAGGCCACCCAAGAAACATTTCCACCACCACTACCCTTACCTACTTTTTCCCCCCAATCCTTTCTTAAGCACCCTCAGGATTAAAAGTACAATAGGTAACTTATATTACTTGGTCAACCCCAAAATTTTAATTCATTTCTTGGTCACACATAAAGAATCAGGCTGCTATATAAAGTTCACATGTTCTTTTATTTTTTTTAAAAAAAAATTGTTTCTATAAATATGTGAAAATATTTGACCTTTGTGACTTTTTGCCCTCAAAGAGTCTAAATTTCAGAGTCTGCAGAGTTTTCTGACATTGGGAACGTGAGCGCCAGCCCCTCAGTGTGAAGAGGGGGTTGGCATTGCTGAGACAGCTTATCAGGGAATGAGAAATATGACACGAACACATCACATGCTTTGAGGAAGAAATCACGTTTCATGGGTTAGCAGGAAACCAGTTCTCTCTGGACTTTGACCCAGAATTTTCAACAACCCTCACTGAAACATTTACAAGGTGATATATCTTTTTCTCCATTGAACTTCCCTTGACTGTGCTTCAAAGTGTTCCCCTTTGGGGTGGGCTTCAGTGAAGAGTCCCATTACTCAGTGATCTGGTGATTGGCACGCATGTCACTAACTCCACCTCCAGGTTGCAAACAGATGAGATTTTGAAAGAGGCCAAGCTTCCAAGATGCACTCAAATGAGCCTGTACCAACTGTGCCCACTGCCACGGCATCATCCCAAACTCCCCAAATTGACACCCAGAGCAGCTCTCACATGGGATGAGCTGGATTCAAGGAATCACATGGAAGGGAGAAGTCTCTCTACACCGTACCGTGTTACTGAAGCTGTTTGTCCTAGAAATTGGAGCGTCTTCAGAGGCATCCCAGCCCACAGAGCTTCGAGCCACTGGAGGCTTCTTGGGGTCATTTTGGGGGGCTGGGGGTGACAGGGGTGCATCCTTGGACTTGGGGAAGAGGACTTCATGGTCTCGGATCATCATGGTCATCACTCTTTGGATCTGAGGAGTTCCTGAAAGAAGGGAGAGATTGTAGTGCTGGGCCATGGGGCAGGAGGAAGGCAGTCAGTCCTCAAAGGTCTACCCATGGGATGTCTCCAAAAGTGACTAAAACCACACAGCCCCAAAGGACCTCACTTTTCTTCTCATAGGACTCTTCTTAATTGCTTGGGGTGGGAAATTACAGCAAAAGGGATAGAAATGAAGAAGGATGTGGGTTGGGATGAAAGAGGGTTATTTTCAGCCAACAATCCACTTGATCAGTTTTTAATCAGGAAATTAGCAATCTAACAGCAGAGAAAAGTAAGACATCTGTCTCTCCTCAAGTGGTCTTCAATATGACATCTGGTTTCCTATTGCACACACAGTGAACACAGGCCGGGCATACTGCCTCCCCAATTCCATGGCAAACGTCAGGACTCTATGGCTGGACTTTTGCCCACTGATCCAATTCACAGCCTCAGAAGCCTCTTCAACACAGCTTTACAAGTGTAGCCCTTTTTTGTGAGCTGATTTGAAAAATAAAACTTGTCTTTCTCTCTAAGGGAATTTAAACATAATAAAAGAAACACTAGCTGTTTTTGTGCTAGCCTATTGTACTGTATTAGGCAAATCTTTAACCTCTGCTTTGATCTGGAAAATGGCTATAATTCCTGCCCTGCTTACTTCACGAGGCTATTTTACAATTCAGACAAGATAATCAGTTCAATTCATGGCAAACTGCAGATCAGCGCACAAACAGAAGGGCTAGCGTTGTAACTGTTCATTCCTCTGTATCTGCCTTACCACAGGATCAGCCGTACCTCTCATAATCACAGCAGGGTCTTCTATCTTTGACCTGATGAGATTCACACCAATCACAGTAGCCAGATTATCCACACTCATCTTGTTAACAGCACAGTTCAGCTGGATTTCGTGTAGGAACCTGTGGATAGCCAGGAGATCCCAGAGTAGGAAATAGGAAGTTGCCAGAAGGAAGCACTTCCAGATACCAACGAGATCTTAGCACTGGATCCAAACTCTCCTCCTGATCTCAGGAATGGGATCAGCCTGCTCTTCCCCCAAGAGTTTAGCTTCACCCCAAAAGACTGAAGATCAAGGAACAATAGAAACCAGGAGGGGCCTACCCAGCTGTGGTGGTGGACCTGGGCTGGGAGCAGGGAAGGGAGTCCCATTGGTGGAAAGCAGCATCTGGTCCAGGGAGCTAAGAGGAGACTAAAAGGACTAAAATGGGTATTTGACTGCCCTTGTTCTGCCTCTATAAGCTTATTTCCCAGGCTCTTAGCACCCATTCCACCCAGGTCTCCAGACAGAAAAATCTCAGAGATGGGAATCCACAGTGCCTCCTTGTTCACAGCCTCCAATCACAGCACCACGCATCTCAGATTCTCAGCAGTTGCTCAATAAGTAACCATCAGTTTGTACTATGGTTCTATTCATGTGAGGCATGCAGTTCTCAAATTCACAATTTAAAAAAAATCAACAAAGGAATTTCTAAATACTTTTTCTAAAAACTATTTTTAAGTAGGTAAGCTAAAGCACAATAAAATTCCAAATACAGAAAAATCATCAAATAAATGTTGGTGTGTCTGAGCGAGGAAACCTTATGAAATATTATGAAGGTATTTATAACCCTGTTTTATGACATAGGGGAATGCTCACAATGAAACATTAAGCCAAAAAAGACAGCAGGATACAATCATTTTTACACACACACACACACACACACACACACGTGTATATTAAAGATATATCATTCTAATTTGGTATTAAAAAAAATTGTTCCAGTACATTTATATTGATATATGTAAAAAATACATTATAGAGAGAAAAACATCAAGAAGGAAAAACATCCAAATGTTAGTGGTAATTTTTGCTGGGTGAGAAGATTGTGGGTAATTTTTATTTCTCATTTAGAGTATGTTGCATTATCCTGGTTTCCAAAACAAGCATGCATCACTTTTTTTCATCTGGAAACTACAACAAATTATTTTATTTTTAAATTAAGATAAATTTCAGCTCTGTCTGGCATGGATATCCAGGCTCCCGACTCAGCCAGAGCTGGATCAATCCACATGCTACATGCTGCCACAGAAAGAGGAATTGAAAGCGTGGCCTGGAATGTGTGTCTCTGGGACAGTAATTTACGGCCCAGAGTCAGGAAGATGGGAAATTATCCTAGAGACTTTATAAAGATTCTGAGTTCTACTGCGTGTCCCAGGGCTCTGGGCAGTGCTGGGAGGGCCTAAGGAGGAAGCAGGTACATTTTGTGTGCTGATCAGATTTTCAGGGGATCATTTAAAGTATCTTGTGGACACAGGAACCTACCTCAGAGATATGTATAGAGATGCCCTTGTAAAGATCTGAACCAGAATCCCTGAGTTCACAGAGACCCTCTTTCCTTCTCTACCCAGGGGTTTCTTTCTGCTGTGACTGAAAACTGTGGAACCGATAGCAGGGGACTCTTACCTGCAGATGTAGCTCAGGAGGCTGTAGTTGTCCCGAGGAAGGACGGAAAGCTGCTTCATCAACTCCTGCTGAGCCTGGAAAGAGATTTTTAACACCAGTAAATGAGGCTGCTCACTTGCCAGCAATGAGGCCCTGGAACGTAATTGGTGTGTCTGCGTAGAAGCTACACTTTGGCAGTGTTATTGGAGTGTTACATTTCAAGCATTCATTAAGCAAACAATTATTGTGAGTATGAGTTGTTGAACAGCCCTTGCCTCGGGGTAGCACCAGGAAGAGAGAATAGTAACAAACAAATAAAAAAGTAACCCTGTACAAAAACAATGAGCCTCTCCATACAACCAGCTGACACCTTGCAACATTTGTGAATTTATAGTTATTTAAAAATAAAAAGTTATTGAAAAACACACACAAAACTGAGAAGAGGCGTTATCACAGGGAGCCACAGCTGCTACAGGCAGCTGCTGCTGAAAGGAACAAAGGAAAGCTCCCTGTCCTTCCTCTCTCTGACACATGGATTCTTTGTATGCCCATGTCGGATACTCACAGTCATCATGGAACTGTACATTCTGACCTTTCATCTGCTTTCCAAGTTGTTCAGCCTGACCTTTTGTCCCAGTGGTTCTCAACAAGGCCGTATTGCTGGAAACCCTTCTCAGATGCATCCTCCTTCTCTTACTGATTTTAAAGTGGCTTGGGGGTATTTGATTATAGTCCAATTCTTTATTGGACTCTTCCATCCATTGAAGGCTGTCACCAGGATTGGCTTCATTTGCCTTTTGTTGCCAAGGAAGTTCCAGCTAGACAAAGTATCTCACAAAAAGGTACCGGCCCCCAGCCCACTATTGCTTGCCTACTGGAATACTGTTCAGTATCCATCACCTCTTTCCAAGCAGGACACCTAACTCTATGAGACACCAACCTTTGCCTCATCGGCATTCATGAGACGCCCGCAGAGCAGGAACCCCTCGTACTGGCTCCAGGGAACCACCGGCTCTGGGAGGTCTCGGAGGTAGAGCTTTAACAGGGAGGCCACTGTGTGCACGTCTGTATCTCTGGAAGAAAATAAGCAAAGCTCTTTAAAAGCAAAACTCCAGGAGTCTCCTCACCTCCCCCTTGATGATCCACTGAATAGAATCCCATGTTCCAAAGAGGAGCTTTGCAGAGGAGTAGAGTCTGATAAAGGTGTATCCAACAAAAACATTTTTGCTAAGTCCCTTTATGGAATAATAACCCTCAACAACTTTCCCTTTATCTATTCTACCCAACTGCCTCAAAGGAAAGTTGAAGGTTTACTTTTTCATTAAATCTTCAACAGTTTAATCTTCATCACTTTCTTCTTTCTCCAAATCACTTAGCACTTCACAATTTAGCATTCTGTACTTAGTGCCTCATTTTTCATGTGATAACTGCTTTACATCCATGGTCCATCGACCTATTTGGCCCCTTAGAGCTTTAAAGTAGTTCTGGGATTCATTCATATATTTATGCAATCACTCATTCGATCAACAAGCATTGAAAGAACTCACTAGATGCAAAATACTTTGTCAGGCACTAGGACTTCAGCAGCAAACCCAAAGGACACACAGGACCCGTCGCCTCATTGAACCACAGGGCTGTGCAAACTCAAATCTTACCAAGTCATTACAGTACTGTGTGGTTAGTGCCATGATAAAGGAAGTCCAGGACCTAGGATCCTATGGAAATGTGCGAAGAGACACTGAATGCAGAATTGAGAGCCCTAGGAGACTCTTCAGACCAGATCTGTAGAGTGATGAACAGTTACAGCATGAAACAGGCCTGGAGGGTGAGCGGAGGAGACCCTGCTGCAGGAGCTGAGACAACATTCATTTGATTGCCTGATTAGCAGAAAGAGAGGCGGGCTCTTCAGCTCGGTTTGCCTGGTTTATACTAAGGGCCAACACACCTTGACCCAGGAGCCAAATCTGGCCCACTGCCTGTAATTTGTACAGTCAGCTAAGAATGGATTGTACATTTTTAAATGGTTGGAGAAATAACTCAAAACAAGACTATTTCATGGAATGTGCAAATTATGTAAAATGTGAATTTCAGCATCCATAAAGTGCTACAGGAACCCAACTATTCTCATTCATTTTTGGATAGTCTTAGGCTGAGTTGAGCTAAGAGCAGAGTTCAGTAGTTGAAGCAGGGACCATCTGTCTAGCCCACAAAACATAAATATTTCAGATGTGGCCTTTTAAAAAACATCTGCTGACCCCTGGTTGATAGAGCTATTGCATTTTTTGCATAGAGAAAATAAGTCTGAGTCTACCACATACTTGGAGGTCATTAGTGAAGAAATATTCATTTATTTCATATCAAGAAAAACTGGTGTTCTTAAGAGACAGTCCCAGCAGTGTTTTGAAAGCTGCGATGTGGTAAGAGGTTCAGATAATCTGAGTGTTCCCTTTTCTCAGCAGTTAGGAATATAGAATCTGCTGGGTGGAAACAGCTCCTGGATGAGAGACAGGAGGGGTGGATTGCACAGGAGGAGAAGGGAGGCATTTGCGGCAGCAGAAACAAGAACACCAAGACTTGACAATAAAGCTCTGTCTTGGCATTGCGTGCAAATATTTAAAAAATTTGTTTTTGACAGCCCATGGTTGGAGCTGCCTTCTTAAAGGCTCCCCTTTGCAGCTTGAGGACTGTGTTCCTCCGCTGGCGAGGCCCTGTCGGTGCTCCATGGCTGCCCTCCGGAAACCAGGGGTGGGGATTCTGGAAAAGACTTCCTTGCTGAGTCACTGCCTGAAAATATCCTGGGCAAAGTCCTCTTGTTGAAATACACAGGCAGTTCCCAAGAAAGTGTCAGAGATACAACCAGCTGGCTCCTTGCAGGAGTGGCATCCTTCCTCCTAGTGTCCCTACACGACGGCCCACCCAGGTCTTAATCAGAATCCAGGGTCTTCAGTTTGATTGGGGCCTCTACCTCACCCCATATCCAATGAGACTCCCAAATCCCCTCAATTCTGCTATCCAAAGGTCACATGAAAACCTCTAAGTCCCTCTCCTCCTTCCATTCCACATTTTCAGGACATTGTTGTTTGTTGTATCTGTTGTTTGGTTGTTTGTTTGTTGCCAGGATTAGGCTCAGCCTTCTATCTAGCCTCCTGCCCCCAGGCTCCAGCACTCAAAACACACCCATGGAAAGAATGTAGAAAACAAAGAATTTGAAATGAGAAAACAGGATAGATGACACGTCAACAAAGCAGAATCTTTTGAAGAGAAACAACAAAAACAAAAGAGACAAACACTAGACAGTTTAATCAGGAGAAACTAAGGCAGTAAAAATATCCAGCACTAGAAGAGAAGGGGGTTATAACCACAGATACAGTATATATCTTCAAAGTTATAATGAAAGAACACAGTTAGCTATATACAAAGCATCTTAGAGCACTGAGATCCACAGAGAGCTGCCCATTCATTTTACCAGGGGAAGATAAGGCTGCTTCCCCTGGCTAACTCCTCATGTTTGTTTATTGTATTTCAACTTAAATGTTATTTTCTTGGGGACCTTCCTAACTCTCCCAGAGCATATCAAAAGCCCCTGTTCTAAATTCTCATAGTACCATATATTTTTCATTTATAGCATTTAATACATGAAGATTATACAGTTATTTCTGTAAATTTTTGGTTTAATGTCTGTGCCCCATTGGAACAGGGCTGACTCAGGCGTCGTTATTATAGTCTAAGTGTGTAGCATGATATTTCTTGAACTTGCTCTTCCTCCAACCCCATGAAACACCCTTAAATATTTTTTTAATCAAGGACTAAGAGCAAGGCAGGAACAAGATGGCTTCTGAGTTGGACCCCTGGTCCACCAGAGATTAGCCAAGCCTCCTCAGATGGCTCTGCCCAGCCTTCTTTGAGGCTCTGACCTTACAATGCAGAATGTCTATGTGTGTTTCTCACTGAAATAATGGGCATCAGAAGTATATCAGCTTTGTAACCGGGCAGTATCGAGCCTAGTAGAGACTGGACAAAGAGATTATTAAATTCATATTTATATCTTTAATGAGAGCCAGACACACCTGCGCTAGAATCCTAAATTAGAGCTCCCTTGCTTTTCTTTGTTCTAGTGAGGTAATTTGGGGGCTTTCGTGGTGGAACTGCACATATGGTCAGTGAAGAAGATCTCGATGAGTACCCGCAAGAGTCATGTGGGCCCAAGAGTCCGCCCTGGGTGGACCCTGAGGAGCCCTTCCTATTTCTAGATGTGTGAACCCCTCAGCTCTGGTGGTGGAGATGTGTGATAACTTTGCTCCTTCCAGTCCCAAATATTTCAGAGGAATCAAAGACTCTGACTCTAACACCCAGGCTGATTTTATAGATGCATAAGCCCAAGCCTAGGGCAGGTATCTGGCAAACCCCTAAAATTACCTCTGTTCGTCCTGGCTGACTTCACATTGCTTTTGCAACAACCCACCTGTATCTTTTGATCAACAACCCACCTGTATCTTTTGAGCTCATTAAAAACATAAGAAAACTGAATATAAATATGTTGAGCTTAATTGAATAGGTGCCTGATAATTAAAAGCAATTTATGGTGCTGCTGAAAGGTCCTTAACTTTCATGCCCATAACCCCCTATAGTTCCAGTAACAACTCCGCCCATTGCTTTCATATTAAAATATAGCACTCTTGCTAAATTAACCTATTACATGCCAAGGACAGCAAAGACAGACCTATGGTGGTCCCAAGTCAGTGGCTGTGAGAATGGAAAGAGATGGGTCTTAGAGAAGCTTTGGAGGGAGAATAGACCAGGTTGCGGACTGAAGTGAGAGGTGAGGGAGAGGTAAGCAGTGAGCCTGTTCACATAGCATGGCTCCCAGCTATTCACTCTTTCCCCAGGGTCAGCCCTGCTCCTCAGTCCTAAATAAGCGTGTGAGGAATTTCAACCTTTGGAAACTGGATAGTGTTCAGGCCTGTCTTGCTAAATCTTGGTTTATGGGCTGCTGATTTGGAAAGAACAATGGCTCTTTCTTGTCCGCAGGACAAGTGCACGCAGGCAACCAAGGCAAATATTGCACAACAGGCAGAGCGTGTGCTATGTCGAGGTGGCAGTGTCTGAGCTGAGCATGGCAGGCAAGAAAGCCTCGGGAGGCTGAGACAGACAAGGAGAGGAGGGAGACCTTGGGGGAGAAATGCCCCTGCACAGGACATGCCCCAATCAGGGCTGGTCAACTCCACGTAGGAGACTTGGGAGAACACCAGGCTGCCAGCCTGTTAGTATGTCCTTCCTCCATAAGGGCTCAGATCTAAATTCAGAGTTGGATAATACTGTGCTTTCCCAAACTAACAAGTCCTGGTTCTTGCCACTCCAGGAAAGCTGAGGAAGACCATCGGAGACCTTAGATCTAGACATGGTGCATTCTCTGCCACATGGTCTGCTGTACAGCCAAAACAGCTCCAGGGTTCTTACCTGCCCCAAAGGCTGGGACTGAAGCTAGGACCTGTCTTTCTCCCCTTCCCCACACTCTCCCTCCCTCTATACCCTAAACACCTCCTGACTGCCCAGCAGGCTCCTGTCTCTCAGGTAATTGATCACCAGGCTCTTCTAACTATGCTCCAGGCTCCCACATTCTGAATAATGAGCAATACAAAAGGCTCTTTCTGTTTCAAGCCAGGGCTCTTGGAAGTGTCTGTGTGAGTCCCAGAGCTCAAATGGAAGAGAGAGGTCCTCTTACCCAAGCAAGGCAGAGGGGAGGGCCAGGTGGAGACAGCATACCTGTCAAAGGAGGGCCTCTCCCCTGCATCAAAAGCATCTCTGAGCTGCTTCACCTGGTTGTCCTGCCCAGGCAGTCGGAAGATGCCCTCTTCATTCAGGCCGTGCTCGAGGATGAACTCCGCACACTTCTCCACAAGGATGGGCACAAGGTGGGGGCCAAATTTCTGCTCGTAGGCCACCGTCTCATCCAAGCGCTGGCCAAACACCGCTGGGAAGAGAAAAACAGGACCTGCACATCACTCTGACTTCCCTAGGATGAAGTGACAGGCCAAGCTCTTTGCCTAGTTCTGGATTTCCCATGCTGTCTATGACCTCAAGGATTTTTCAGGAATGATACTAAACAAAATAAAGGAAGCGAATAACCCAAAATATTTCCTGGGACTATTAATTTGGGGCTAGAAATTGGGGCAGTCTCTGTCCGTCTTTTTCTATTGACACAGATGTTTGTGTATTTAGAATAACAATCCACTTTTACTGGGTACTGTGTGCTAGGAAGTGTGCTCTGCACTTTACACATCTTTTCTCTTTTAACCTTCACAGCAATCCCATAAAGCGTTATTATTGTTATACCCACCTTATTGTTAAAGTCACCGAGCCTTAGGGCACTGATGAACTTACCCAGGTCAGGTGCCAGAGCGTGGCGCAGTCAAAATGCAAGCCCAGGCAGTGAACGCAAGAGAATGTGCTCCTAACCACAGCAGCCACCAGCTGCTGTCATATAGCATTAAAGCAAAACAGTCTATCATATGGATGTCTCAGAGTGTATTAAACAATTGTGGCATTTTTAATAATCTAGGTTGTTTACTATGTTTTACCATTATGAACATTGCCACACAGAGAACAAATTCATTCGCCTAGCAGGGTTCCTGGAATGTACATAGTACAATGTATTATTTCTAATTCATTGTTTAATTATTTGACATTTGGATGAATGAACATAGGCTTTTTATTCTTTTGAACTATTTCCTTAGGGCAAAGTCCCACATGTAGAATTACTAGGTCACATGGTTTGAACATTTTTATCACTGGATGGTATGCAAATTGCTTTCCAAAAATATTGTTCCAAATTACACTGCCTCCAGCAAAGCGTGTGCGGACCAGCTCCACCCTGGCCCTGCCAGCACTTGGCTCTGGCCTTCCCCCACCCCAGTGGTATGACAAGTTTAGTTTATAAGCCAGGAGAATCATTGGCTACTCATTTTTTTTCGCTCCAGGCCCCCATGCCCTTTGTATCCTGGAGGTTCAGGATACAAAGCTTCGGCTCTGTCCTGCCTGAGTGTTCCTCTGTTATAATTAGGACTCTGGCACTGACCACTTCAACCCATGGACACAGGTTCCCAAAGCTCTTTGGTTGTCCCCATGATTCTTTCTTTGGTGGGTCTCCTAGACCCAGTCTCTGATTAATGTAGATTCCACCTGTAAAGAGCTTTAATGGGTTCTTGAGTCTCCCATGTTCTTTCCATCCGCACCCACTGCCCTAGGCCAGGCCAGGCTGGACTCCTCTCTCACCAATGACTTCTTCTCTTCCAATATGTTCAAAGCCCCCCTGCTACTTACCTTTCTAAATCTCTGGTCTACCTGAGCATGTTCCCCCTCTTTTTAATAGACATCCACTTCTTCCCAAATTGCCACACCAGTGTTTTTCAAATTACCCCTCAAAGTCCTAGGGGTTCCTCTGAAGCCCTTCCTTCATCACATCAAGTGCTTGAGAGGCGAGGGCATGGGGTCTAGGAGCAGCTGAACCAGTGGGTCTCTATTCTCCCTACTGCCAGGGGTGTCCAACCTGCGGCCCATGGGCGCATGCTGCTCAGGATGGCTATGGATGTGGCCCAACACAAAATCATAAATTTACTTAGAACATTATGAGATATTTTTGTGATTATGTGTCACAGTGTATTTAATATATGGTCCAAAACAGCTCTTCTTCTTCCAGTGTGGCCAGAGATGCCAAAAGGTTGGACACCCCTGAGTCTACTCCCAACCAGACTTTCTGGGCTGTTGTATGTTTTACTTGTGTTTCAGTGAGAGTGATTAAAATTTTTTCTTGGCTAAAGTTTGAGAGCTGGTGTTGGCATTCAGCCTGGCCCCCACCTACCTTTCTGGCCTGACTTCCTGCCTCTCCCCCAAAGGCACCTCACCCTGGTGTTCCCAAAGCCCACAGTGCTCTCCAGTGTTCATGCCTTTGGATGGTCTTTTCTCACTGTCCAGTCTTTTCATCTCTCCCCCTGCTGTCTGCAGGAATTCTGTTTGTCTTCCTTGGTCCAATTCAAATATTGTCACCTCTGCTAAGCTTTCCCTGACCCTGGCCTGAGAGATTCTCTCTCTACTGTGTGTGCCCATATCCTTCTCAAATATCCCAATCCCTTTCCACACTGTGCTATTATTATTGGTAGGTCCCTGTGCCCTCTGTATGACTGACTGTAGGCTCCCTGATGCTAGAAATATGGGATGGTCTCTTTTTATTCCCAGTGTTTAGCATACAGCCTGGCACAAGGTAGAGAGTCAACAAATTTTGCTAAATTACTTAATGAATTATTTCACCTTCAAGCAAATGATTTCCATGATTAATAATAATTTTGCCATTTATTTAGTTTAAACAGTAGTAGAGATCACCTCCGTAGGTAAATTCAGCTTCATGCTAACATTTTTTGAGTGCCCTGACATGTGCCAAGAGTTGGCCACATGTAATGGACTATTCAGACAAAGGAATGTTATATTCAATTAGCTTCCCACCAAATTGTGTAAATAAAAGGACCCCGTACAAAATAATGAAAAACAATTAAAGAACGTCAATACAATATAGAATAAGATTCCTATTTGTCTGTGAAAGGAGCTAGATAGATATTTTCACCAAATTGTAGGGAAATAATTGAAGTGATATGACTGAATATATATGACTGAAAATATAAACTGCATGGCATTTGTAAAATTCCCTTTGAGGAGTCCAGGGAGGAGCACTTCAAAGGAGAGGTCGATGTGATTCAGAGCAATTGAAATTGGAGCCCAAGTGCCCACTGGACCCATAAAGAAAGACCTCCCTAACATAATATGAGAGTGTGCACGGAGATGCCAGAGCTGGCAAATGTGAACTGCATTTCTGAGATCCCCAGGCAGGAGCTCCACTTTACAGGTGACCTGGAACCAAGCTCCTTTTCACATCCCTCTGCACAGTCAGCCCTCTAACCTTTCTCCTCCTCTGAGTCTCTCAGCCTTGCTCTGTGTTCATTCTCTTTTCCTCCCCTACTCCACAGTCAGTCATTTCAATGTCACTCTCATCAATACACTCATTTCCCAAATCCCCTTTTCTCTCCATCATCTCCACTCTCCCAATTTCCACCACTCCCCTCATGCCTTCATCAGGCCACTGAGAGCTACGAGGGAGCATAGCATAACGGATCATGGAAATTTTCTTTCCAATCTCTGTAAGATCTTGGTTCCAAACCTTCACCACCTGCCTTGAGCTCACCACCACTCTTCTCTTATCTCAGCAGGTGAAGTTGTCTCTTCTTTCCCTTAAGTTCCCAAATTGAGGATATCATGACTGAACTTCCTCATTTCCAGCTTCTGCTTCTCTCATCCTTCCTCCAGTCTGTCTGCCTGTCTCTCTCAGGGGAAGAAAAGGACCCTGTGCTTTTCTCTAAGGTGGTGTTTCCTTGAACTGAGGGTTTCATCCCTTTTTTTCTCTTTTGAGATTTCACTTCTTCTCTTTTGTATTTAAAAATTTTCTCTTTCAATTAAGAGAGCCCCCATGAGTTTAAGTCTTTGCCAATTTATTAAAGACTAATTTCCTACCCCAGGTCTCAAACAGCCAATACTTGCCTTGCTTCTGTTTGCCAGTATTCTGGTCAAAAAAAAAAAATGTGCCTACTTCATGCCCTGGCTCGTGTAGCTCAGTGAATTGAGTGCTGGCCTGTGAATCAAAGGATCGCTGGTTCAATTCCCAGTCAGGGCCCCTGCCTGGGTTGTGGGTCAGATCCCCAGTAGGGGGTGCATGAGAGGCAACCACACATTGTTTCTCTCCTTTTCTTTCTCCCTCCTTCCCCTCTCTATAAATAAATAAATAAATCTTTTAAAAAATATGTCTACTTCTCACAGCCTTCACTTCTTCCCTTAGCTTTCACTTCTCCACCCCTCAACCCATCCTCTCAAACCTTCCCCATATGGTTTAATCAGCCTGCATCTTTTCACCCAATCTGCTCAATAAAATTTCTACTGTCCTCTTAATGGGCAAATCTAACCTGTGTTTATTCCACACTCTACTGGTCTTCACTGAAGACTCTGATGGTGTTGATTCTCCTTCCTCCTCAAGACTTTATCCTTACATTACTACACAACCGTCCACTCTCATTTTATTCCCACATCCCTGTGGGCTCCTTTGCAGTCCCCTTTACGGTGCCCCTTCCTCCACCTGCTCACTCCAACTCAGTTGTTCTCCCACTCTAGACATTCTCTTTGGGAAACATCATATAATCCATACATCTGGATATTACCTACAGACCGGTAACTTAAAGTCCACATGTCTGGTCCAGATCTCTCCATCTCCATTCTCTCTCTCTCTCTCTCTCTCTCTCTCTCTCTCTCTCTCTCTATCATTTCTTTCTCTTCCTCTCTCTCTCCCCTTCTCTCCTCTATTCTATAAGTCCAACATCTAATGGCAGTTCTCCCAGTGTCCTCCAATTTCACTCTCATCCTGCACTCATAAATCACCCATTCTCCTGTAGCCTTCCTTGCAGGCAACAGCATTCAGTCAATCCAGCAATCAAGTATCAGGCACTTTCTTAGGCACTAAGAATACAAAGCCATTAACACAAGGTACTTGCACTCGACTAACCCAAGGAGCAAATGTGTGAGTGTTCAAATTACCTGCAACATCCCTCTTTCCCTTGAGATAGATCAATACATTCTAAAATACACTTTAAGCTGTCTCTCTTCTCTACCCTTGCTGCTACTTTCAAAATTACTATAATAGTTTCTTTTGCAAATTCTGTTTTTTGCATATTACTCTCACTGGAATTTACAAATCATTCAGCAAATATAGACTGAGCATCTGCTATAGACAAGCCTCTTTGGTAGCTGGAGATTATGACAGAAACAATGAAAAATGGTCTTTGCTCTTGTAGACTCTAGATCAAATGCGATTCCTCCTTCTCCCCAGGATTAGAAACCTGATCTAACTGCAGGCTGAGTTCAGATGTCTTCATCTCAGAG